TATATATATATATATTTGTAAATAAATATTATCTATATGGTCTAAGTACTTTCCGAAAACTAGAGGGTATTTAGTAAAAGATTCTGCATATCTGTGGCTCCTGTGGCTTTGAGGCTCTCTCCTAGGCGAGTTTCTGTTGGACATCAATTTGTGTAGCTGTCTTAACGTGCTTAAAGAGTGCATGGTATCCATGCCTAAGCTATGAATAATGAATATTGTTTTCTAAGATCAGGAAAGTGGCAGGTCTTTAGTTTACTTTTGGTACTTGTTACTGAATAGGGATACTGGTTAAGCTCTGATTGAATTAACTTCCACTAGTAAATAATAAATCGTAGCTTTTGTAACTGCACAGTGAGCAGTTTGGAGCATGAAACCTGACGGGTTGGCATACAAAGGATACAGAACTTCACCACAGGAGTGCTTTTGAACAAAGGATGTAATTGGGACTTTGAGAAACGCCCTCTCTGTACACATACCCCTCTGTGTAGTTATTTGTTTGGGGGATTATATATAATTGTTTGATGATTGTAGCCTAATAATATCAGTAAGTTCTTTGGTGTTTCTTCTCCAGCCCCCGCCCCCCTTTTCTTTTAAGCAAGGCTTAGACAGTTACCTTGTCTTGTCTGTGGTGGGAGGAGTTATGTAATCTGGAGTAACTAAAAGCCTCAGTGGTGCAGCCTGAGACCAACCACCTGCCTGTACTTGTGGCCTGCCAGCCTAAATGTCGTGATTAACGTGTTCTCCAAGACTTGAGTGAACATTTAGAAGGTGTGGTAGGATTTGAGCAGAGCATTAACACTATTCACAGTAATGTTTGAAGAGTAATGGTGTGTGAAGAAGATAGAGTTGGGAAATGTGGGCGCACTTGCAGTTTTAGTTTGACATTTTTAGAGTATTAGAATAAGGCTTTGGCAAACAAAGAAAGTACCAATGTGAAAAGATTTTTAGTAAGAGACTGAACCTTTGTAGTAGGCCTTAAAAGTGTTGGAGAACTAACACTGTTATCTAATTATACTTTGAGAACTTGAGAACAACCTGAAATTGTAGTTAAAACATAGTTGTCTAAAATAAAATAAATGCTCATTTTGTTCTGGGGGGAGGGTGTGAAGGAACATGTTGTTAGTTGCCATCGAGTCATGTCTGACTCATAACGAGCCCATGTACAGGAGAACAGAACACTGGCTGGTCCTTTGCCGTCCTGGCAATTGTTCCTATGTTTGGGCCTATTGTTACAGCATCTGACAGTATCTCATTGAGGGTCTTCCTACTCTGCTTTGTCCAGCATATGTTCTCTACTATACCAAGCATGATGGTCATTTTTCAGGGACTGGTCTATTCTGGTAACATGTTTAATCTCTTTATAAACAAGAGCTCCTTGCAATGCATAAAAATACCCAAATAGTATTTAAAACCAGTGATAGTAAGGAGCCTTTCACCCCTCAGAAAATCATTGAGTATTTTTCTTGTGGTAAGTATTGTGTTAATTGTGGGACTACATTGATGATAAGGAGAGCCCCCGCCCTACCTGCTTTGATTTCAGTTGTGATCCAGGGTTGAGTGAACCAGGTGATGTCTGAAACCATATGCTGGGATGTGTCCTCTGGCCCAACAAGGAAGTCTGGAGGCCAGTGCTCCCCGTTGAATGTGAAGGGGTAGGGAGCAAAAGGCTCTGAAACGTAGGCTAGGCAACAAGAAGAAGGTGGCCAGCTGCCAATGGGAATGGCAGCCTTTAAGACATTCTCAAGAGGGAAGGCACTTAACTTATAGTTGGGAGGAGATCAGTGGTAATCTTAACAAGTGATTACATTCAAGAGTAGCGATTAGGTTTTAAAATAGTACAAAAGGAGTAGCTAGCAAAACTGAAACATCTGCATGAAATATAAATAACATATTATTTATGGTTTTACCAGGAAGAGGAAAATATAAATGCTTTTATAACGGTATAAAGTAAGTCACTTGGAGCATTGAATAATAATAGTAACTAGTATTGGCTAATGGAGTGCTGATAGCACTGTAGGATAAGCACTGGACTACTAACCACAAGGCTGGAAGTTCAAGCCCACTTGCTGCTCCATGGGACAAAGATGAGGCTTTCTGGTCTCTTAAAGATTACCACCTTGGAAACCCTATACAGGGTCACAATGAGTCAGAATCAAATCGATGGCATCTAACAACAATACCAATTATTGGCTAATAATGATAGAAATAATAATATAGAAGCCTGTTATTGATTTCTAGGTAGTACCATACCAAGTATTTTATTTATATAATTGAATTTTATCCTTACCTTCAGAGGGAGGTAGAACTCTCCCCATTTTCCAGGTGAGTAATTGCTCTTACACAAGTACATTAACTTGCTCAAGGTCACGTAGAGACAATCTGTAGCCCAGGCCTTTTCTACTGTACTGAGTTAGCTCAGTGGAAGCTAAGTGGGCAAGGGAAGGGGAGGCCTTTTAAAAGGTGAGATTACTTACAGTTGTTCCAGATGTCTCAGGAAAAGAAGAAATTAGTATTGAAAAGGTAGAGAGAATAAAGCATGGGTTTCCTTGACTTTTCTCGCAAATGCTTAGGACTCTGCAGTCACTTTTTAGTTTAAGAATCTTTGCTACTTTCCAGAAGGGCATGATAATTTTTATTGCAGTTTTAAATCCAGGGAGACAAAGTTGAACTGATTAGAATATTTACCTTCTCATACAGAGTTCTTTGTTTTAATAGTTGTAACTGACCAGGTATTCCCAGAACAGCAATTTGGAATTTTCCCAGACTCTTAACCTCTGGACTCCGTGTCTTTAGGTAACCTATAGGTTGCTAGTCCAAGGAGCAAGATGGGGCATCTTGTTAGAGAAGATTACTTTTGCTGTGGGATATTAAGAATGAATGTGTTTTGTATATTTGTTTATCAAGAAACATTAGGACTCAAGGATTCTGTGTTCTCTCCTACTTCTCACAGATACTTCTTGTGCCTTCAGCTCAGGCAGGACATTGCCTCAGGCCGCCTGCCCTGCTCTTTTGTTACTCACGCCCTTTTGGGATCCTACACACTGCAGGCTGAACTTGGGGACTATGACCCAGAAGAACATGATCATGATGACCTCAGTAACTTCCAATTTGCCCCCTCCCAGACAAAGGAACTGGAAGAGAAGGTGGCCGAGCTACACAAGACCCACAGGTCTGTTGACATGTGACTGGAACGAGAAAGGCTGTAATAGATTAGCTCCTCTAATAACATTTGCCGGGAGTCCCTGCATGGCTCAACTGCTTTTAGCATTGTACTAACCAAAAGATTGGCCTTTCCTACCTACTCCAAGGCACCTTGGAAGATAGACCTGATGATCTGCTTCCCAAAAGTCCCTTCTTTAAAACCTATGGAGCAGTACTGCTCTTCGTACATGGGATCACCATGATTTGCCAGGAACTAATAAGAGCAATGTAATATACTAGTTAGATATCTGAGCTTGGTTTATGGGATTAACCAGTTTTTCTTCATGGAGCGTCACCTGGTACTGATCCTTATGAACCATGTTCATGAGAAGAAATGTTTTTGTTTAATAAAAATTTACTTTTCCCTATGACATCTTTTCCTCCTCACCTCAGTCCTGTCCCTTGGCACACACGTTTGCACATGCACAAGCGCACACAAGGCAAACATACCCACATACTGGGTTGCCATTTACTTAGTATTTCTTCTGCCTTTTGATTATTTTCTTATTATCCTACTTGATATGAAAGTTGGGAAGATGATAATTCCTCAGGATTGAATGAGAAGTGTGGGTGGTGATGGACATAGGAGTAGAAGTGGAAGCATACAGGTGTTACCCTAACCACGGACACTTGCCTGTTAGTATAGCTAAGAATTATACAAATTATTTGTACTTGGAAAACTTTTTGGTGTGTATGGAAATAATGAGTTTTCTAACACAAGTTTTTAAACTCATACAAAATTACATTAAATTATAAGAGCTACCAAATTATAGGAGTCCTGGTGTGGTGCTGTGGGATAAAGCAGTGACTGCAAAGGTTGGTTTGAACCACAAGGTCAGCAGTTCAAACCCACCAGCTCCTTGGAAACCCCACACAGGGTCATTATGAGTCAGAAATGACTCAGCAGCACTTAACAGCAGCAGTTACCAAATTATAATTGTGTCATATTGCAAAAATTTTATAAAGTTTTGGTTTAAAATAGTTTAAAAGAAACATTTTAAGAATTAGGAGTTTTAAAACAATCCATATTCATTGACTTTCATTTTACATGAATAAATGCAACAATAGACAGAATGTATCCTCAATCAAATCTTTAAAATCAAATACCCATCGTTCTGATCTTCATTTCATCAGTCTTTGTGGAAAATAAAATAAGGGCTAAGAATTTATCTTAGAACAATGAAACCTTTTTTATTTTCTTTCTTTTTCATTATTCCCCAGTGGGGGGAAAACTCATAGGTAACTTCTGTACTTTGCTTCTTATTTTTCTAATATGAATTAAGTGAAGGTTTACAGAGCAGAGATTCAGATTTGCATTAAAGAAATCCTACACTTCTTTACATCTCGATTGCAATCCCCTCGATGTAACATCACATACCCCATGTCCTCCAGGTCTTGTTTCCATTCCTCCTCCCTTCCCCACCCTTCTGAAGTGCCTGTCCTTAGGTAAAGGCTCTGCCCTTGTGATCTCAAATGGTTGACCATTTCTATAGTGTGCATACATCATACATGTTGCTGTCTTCCCATAAACCTATCTATTGCTTGACTGAAAATTTGAGCGACAGCGGTGAATTCACTTGAAGACTTGAACTGACCAAAGACCATAGTCACAGGGTTCCACCAGTCTCTGTGGTTTTTTTCTTCATGATTTTATGTTTTGTTTCTCATTTTCTTCACTTCTATCCAGGATCTTCTAATGTGATCCCTTTCAGAGCCACAACTTAACTTGCTAAGATAGAGTAAGGGTAGAAGTACAACTCCCTGCAGTTAACAATTTGAAGATCATGAGAAAATGGTAGAGATGAGCAGTTGAGTCTTCTTACTGGTTCCCATTTGGGTCACATTTGCATCTACCAATAATATAATCTTGTTTCTTTTGATTCTTAGGGGCTTATCTCCAGCGCAAGCTGATTCTCAGTTCTTAGAAAATGCAAAGAGGCTCTCCATGTATGGTGTTGACCTGCATCATGCTAAGGTATTGTAAATGTAACCGTGAAAGAGACATTGTTCCAGGCTTGACTAGAGTTTTGAGAGGGCCCCAGTTTCTGAATAGCTTAGTTCACTTCTGGGAGCAAGCTATTCACCTCACTTGAGGTTCTCTGTAGTATTTCTTTGGTCGCTACTGGTGGGGTGTATGGTTGGGATAAGGACCACCTGTTCTCCCTCAACTTTGTTCTTCTCTACCTTTTTATGTAATACCTTTTCATATGTCCTTGTCTTAAAACTCATCTGTCAAACTTTCTCCTGATCCATTGTTTTCTACTCATTCTTTATGCTGAGCCCCAACTTCTGCTATGCCAATACCAGCTCCCCTCCTCCACCTCTATTTTGAGAGAAGAGAGCAGAGCCTAACAACCACAAAGGGCAAAAGTGACGTGAATATGATTACCTACCAAAAAACTTCTGAGCTGTGAAGGAGTGCTTCAGTTGGGCTCCTCCCTGTAGGTGTGTATGTTTCATACTTCATGAGGGTAAAGTAGACTGGTCCAAATCTTTCATTGTAATTGGAGAAGTGGAAAAAGAAAGAATGAAATAGTAGGAGAAGCTAGGGGTGGGTTGGATGAATGCTGGTAACATCACCTGCTTCATGATTTCAGTTATGATGATCACATAGTGGGGAGAGTCGAGGGTAACAAGAGGTACAGTAGAAAGATAGATTTCAGTTATGATGATCACATATTGGGGAGAGTCGAGGTTAACAAGAAAGAGGTACAGTAGAAAGATGGATTTGGCTTTGTAAAATAAAGCCAGAGTTACCGTAACTTACTGAGAAAGCCTGTAAGTTAGCTGTTTTTCAAAGACACTGCTAATCTCTACGTTGCAGCATGGGAAACTGGTATTAGATTATTTGAGCTGTCTCTAGGAAGCCTCCCCCAACCCTCCCCTCCCCCCTGCCAAATCTCTTCCTTTCTTTTATGTTATTAATAGTACTTCATTTTGCAAAAACACTTCTTTTCCGTTCAATAATTTCCTTTACTCATTAAATATTTTTTCTCACTACAAAAATTCATGTTCATCATATAAAATAGAAACAAACAGAAGGATATAAAAATTACTTAAATCTCTATATGCAGAAATAAGCATTGTTAAGGATTGTTATGAATCAGAAAGGATTCGACGGCACTTAACAACAACAATATTTTGGTACATTTTCTTGTTTGCTTTTGAACTGTGAGCCATTGTCCTCATACTTTTGTAAAAAACTTAATTATATTCTTAATATAGTTTTATGAAGTTATTTCTTTTAAACTTTTTGCCATTCCAGTGAGTAATCTTTGCCAGCATCATTTTAAGTCCTAGGAGCTGTAGCCTCTTTAATTTTTGAAAGTACTTACACATGAGCTATTTCATTTAAGCTCTGAACCTTTTTGTTTTACAACTACTAATGCAGAAAGTGACTTGTTTAGAGCCGTACTTGTTCATTAGTGTCATCTATTAAAGGCTAAAAGAAACCATCTAATGCTGGAGTGATGTTTCATCTTATTTTTTCATCTGATGGGGACTAGCTTGGGCAGCTGAAACCAGAAATAAGGGGGGCAGGAAAGAATAGGTGTAGAATTGCAGTTCAAATCCACCAGCCACTCTGAGGTAGAAAGATGATGCTTTTGCTTCTGTAAGAACTTAGAGCTTCAGAAACCCTATGCGGGGTTACCATGAGTTGGAACTAACTTGGCACACAAGAAGCCTGCTTTGTCTCTAAATTCTGCTTGTCTTAATCATACAGTAACTTTGCATCGGGTTACTTTATTGATAAATTAGAAAACACTTCTTAGCTGACAGTACTGTAAGATTTCAAGATTCTTATTTTTACTGTTGAATCTTAGATAATAAAATTATGCCTCTGTTAGGAGTCTAACCTGAGCTCTTGCTCTGTAGTTAAGAGCAGATTCTTTTTTTTTTTTTTTTTTAATTCAAAGTGTCATTCATTCATTTAGTTTACCATCTTGTAGACTCATTGGGTAATAAATATTTGATAAGCAAGATATTTGTAGCTTACTGAAAAGAATACATCAATTTAAAAGAAAATTTCATGTTGTTTATTGTTTTCTGACATTATACGTTTTCCACTGCCTTAAGATTAGGTATTCTTAATTAGAAGATGGCGCACACACATGAAAATCAGTTGAGGAAGGGTTGACTAAAGAGATAAAGGTGCAAGAAAACCCACAGGGACTGTATGATCCCATCTCAGTCCCTGTAGGTCAAGAAGGACTGAGGCCCAAGAGTAGTTGCCAGAAGACACAAGGAGTGAGCTGTTTCCAGTGGAGCCATGCCTGTCAGAGGGGCCGAGCCAATCTGATGTCATTCCACAAGAGGGAGTCTGGGTATTAGATACCCTTTCCTTCTTCCTTCCCTCCGTCTCTCCCTCTTCTCTCTCTGATCTTTGCTCAGAGCTGTACATCAAATGAATCCTTTCAGAAGCCAGTGACCATGGAATTCTGTTGCTACCCATATGTGGCAGCTTCTTGGGGGCAGGATGCATGGCTGAGAAGGGCACGCCTTTATGTTAATTTATATTTCTGACTGTATTGCTGGATGGCAGAAGGCAAATATGGAGGACATACTTTTCTCTTTTACTTCCTACCGTTTATCTGCAATTTCTGTTCACACAGATACTCAGGATTTTAAAACAGTATCTGGAGCTACCCCAAGTGAAAACCAATTTGTTTGAATCCAGGTTATGTTTCTATACTAAAATATAATTGCTTCAGTGTCCTGTCCAAAGATTGCTTTAAACTAGAGGACTTTTGTTCAGTGTTTCAAATGAGCGTGGCCTCCTTACTTGTGGTGAGAACATGCTGTCTTGGGCAATCTTTGGTATTGTTCCCTGCCACCATGCCAGTTATATTTTTGGCAAACATACCACTTGAATCTGGTGCCAGGTTGCTTGGACACCTGTGACTGCCCCACATTAGCTTTGTATTCTTTTCCTAGAGAGAATTACGGCTACCAGAGAAAAATTACTAAAGCACCTTGTCTATCTATCTATATCTATACTAACTATACACACACACACACACACACACTAACTGAACTATACACATATACACATATAACTGGAAGTTTGGAGGTTCAAACCCACCAACTGTTCCTTGGGAACCCTATACAGGTTAGCTGTGAGTTGTAATCAGTTCAGTGGCACTTAGCAACAAAAACAGCATATAAAATGTTTTAATGGAGGAGGTGGTCATTTTATTTGTGCACATGAATTGTTCAACTATCACATCTGATAAGGCAATTGGCACCTAGTATTATTTAAAAAAAACAAATATAATTGTCTTAAATTTTTCTCTTTATATGTCTTGAATGAAATTCAGTTCTACCCTGAAAACTAATAATTTGTATAATTTGAAGATTGTACAGGTTAGATCTTCACCACTACTTAAAATGTTCAGAGACAGTTGTCCACTTTTGTCCAACAATTCATTTTGTTTTTAAAGTCTTTCAGACTTCTGGTTATTCTAGACAGTCATCTACTCCAAGGAAAAGCTCTAGGGCAGCAGTCATTATTAATAAGTTTGAGAGTAGTCTGCGTTCTTTTGAAATAAGCCATCCAAAGGGGTGTTATAATGAGAACTGGATATCAACACTCTCAGTTATTAATAAGCTGCTAAAATACTGAAGAGATTTCAACTCTGTCATCCTACACAAGAAATTTTCAATGCGAGATGGGTACTTTACAGATTATAGACATAATTTTGAAGAATTATTAGTATAATCCTTCTGAAATAAATTTATCTAAAACAGAATGACTCAGTGAACCTTCAAGTAAGCCAAGGTACAGTCACTGAGGACTGGGCTGTTGTTGTTGTTGTTGTTAAGTGCCATCGAGTCAGGTCCGACCCATAGCGACCCTGTACAGGGTTTCCGAGGGTATAAATCTTTACGGGAGTAGAAAGCCTCATCTTTCTCCCGCGGAGCGGCTGGTAGTTTCGAACCGCTGACCTTAAGGTTCGCAGCCCGATTCGTAACCACTACGCTACCAGAGCTCCTGGGCTAGACTCCAGCAAAACCCATTTTATCTCCCATATCTTCAAGCTCTCTAAATCTAGTTGTTTCCTTTTTTCCTCTTTAGCTCTTACAACAGAGCTTGAAAATTCATTTATATATATATGCCTTTTGAAGAATATTGGTCTCCACAGTGATACTACAGTAACTCTTTGGCAAATCAGTTTGATTCTTGTAAAGAATAGACCGAAGATGTGTGTTGTGTCCTGTTTCCGTTAAATTGCTTGCTATCCCTGAATTTTAAATTCAGACCGGTTAAATTGGCATTCCTGGTTATAGTTTGAGGGAGACAGCTTCCTGGAACTATGTAACTTTCACAGCTCTAACGCTGGTCAACTGGTTATTCTTGGCAGGACTCCGAGGGTGTGGACATCAAGCTGGGTGTGTGTGCTAATGGACTTCTCATTTACAAAGACAGACTCAGAATCAATCGTTTTGCTTGGCCGAAAATCTTGAAAATTTCCTATAAACGCAGCAACTTCTACATTAAAGTGAGGCCAGCCGAGGTAAGCAATACCACGTCCCCATCGGTCCATTTAATCAGCACTTACCAGTGTTCTCCTTTAGGGCAGAACAACTTTTTTTACATTATCTTTTGATTATATTTTTCCATGGACTTTTTGAAGTCCCTTCGTATTTCCTAGTGTTAAAAATAAACAACTAAACCTTCTGTCGGGGAACAAAAATAAGAAAATGCTTGGCACTTTCATATTTCTTGAATGAACTATGAGGTAAGTGAATAGAAATGAATTTTGGTGGACATTGAAAGATAATGGTTTATATGAGCAACTGCATTGATATTTTGCATTTTTAGAAAATAAAATATTTTTATTAAAAATAGCATTGCATGCCTGTACAAAATTACATATTGTAATATTTAACCTTTTTCAAGAGGCATGACATTACAGGGACATCTGGATCCATGGTTTTTGTTAAACTCCATTCAACAAAATATGCTAATTTGTGTTCTGGCTTTATTCCAGCTGGAACAGTTTGAGAGCACCATTGGATTCAAATTGCCAAAGCACCGGGCAGCTAAAAGGTTATGGAAAGTGTGCGTGGAGCATCATACTTTTTACAGGTATTTTAAAGATAAAACAACTTGGTATTGCTATTAATACCCTCTAGTGTCTTAGGTGTGGCACTGTGGGTTAATGCACCAGACTGTAAAGCTGTTTGAACTGCAAGGTCGGCAGTTCAAGCTCACCAGCTGCTCCTTGGAAACCCTATACAGGGTCACTATGTGTCAGAATCGACTCAATGGCACTTAACAACAACAAGTGTCTTAGGGGGGAGTCCTTGGTTTACCCCCACAGTGATCCAAAATGCCAGTTTCTGATCATAACCCCCATTCCTTACACTATTTTCAACATCTGCCAGATCCTCAATGCTGCCAGGCAATTCCTTTACTCCCTTTCCCATTTCAAACATTCATGGGTCTTTTTGAGGTTCTCTTGTAACCCATGTCTTTCTCCTCAGATGCCTTTCATTGTGTGGTGTACTAATATTAGATGCTATGCGTCATGAGCATTTATGGTATTGTGCACCCTTTCTTCTTCCTCTAGTGTAAAACTTCAGCCCCCGTCATCCCCTTGTTCTCTCCTCTCCCATTTAAATGGGAAGATAATCATTCCTCTTGTCTTGATCCCTGCTTCATGCCTCATAGCATCATGATTGTAAATTATGATCTCCTTAGTGGGTCCACCCTTTGGCTTCTCCTCCTTCAGTCTTGCTCCTTTAAAACAAAGTGACGATCTCCTTACACTAACCGCTCTTAGTTGGTGCTCTGTCTCCTTTATATCTTTCTTTAAAGACATTCTTACAGGTGTAATCTACATATCTTCGTTTCTGCCATTTGTTTCCAATCACTGCAGTCTTAACTTAAGCATGTTGTTGTTGTCAAGTGCTGTCGAGTCGATTCCGACCCATAGCAACCCTGTATAGGGTTTCCAAGGAGCAGCTGGTGAGCTTGAACCACCGACCTTGCAGTTCAAATGGCTTTGCAGTCTGGTGCATTAACCTACAGCACTTTATCTTTAAGGTTTTGCTCTGGACTCTTAAATCTAATCCTCTTTTACCACATACTGGGTGTGTAGCTGTGGGTAAATTTTACTCAATCTCTTCTCATTTTTCTCATTCATTTTATGACGATAATAACAATATCTACCATACAGGATTATTTTAAAAATTTATTGAGATATACTTGGACCCTCTCTGGAATCCTCTTTCACCTCCTCCCTGTCATCATTGTTCTTAGTCTTGTGCTACAGTTTGCTCTTTTTATGGTGAATTATTAGCAGGCACAAATGACTCCTCCTTGACGTTAACTTGACAATTATTTTTGAGACTGCTGTGACACTCAAGTTTTGAAGGAAAAATGTAGCTCATAAAACATACTGATTCCATCTGACTTAGTTACACTGATCATGTAAATCCTTGAAAAGTTTGCAGTTTTTCTTGATAAACCCTGAGAAATTTTCTCATTAAGACAACATGAGCCTGCCACAAATCAAGCTGGTAGATAAGAATGACTCACTAAATGGCACACATCTAGACAAGACAGATAGCAAGTTCCCTGTCAAATAATGATGGTGAAAGCAATAATAATCGTAAATCTGACAAGTGCTAATGGTCATTGAGTACATACTGTTGTCAGACACAGAATTGGTTGCATTATGCTACTCTGTCTCATATCGTTACCTCACATCTGCCAGCAGTTCCATGGGAGAAAGATGAGGCTTTCTGCTCCCGTAAAGATTCATAGCCTCAGAAACCCTGTACAGGGTCGCTGTGAGTCAGAACCAATCCCACGATACATAACCACCACCATTACCACATCTGAGGAAGCTGATACTTAGACGTGGGTGCCTATTCTAAAGCGTTGTCCTTCCTCTCATAGACTTCAAGCAGAAACCTTTGAGCTGTTAGTTAGCCGTGCAAAGCCTCAGGTCCCCTTTAACACATTTGGTAGAGTACCACTGACTCCAGATCTACTTATAAATAGACCAGTTTGTTCCTGCAAACTTTGAGATAATGATTAACATGAGCAATTTTCTGCCTTTAAAGCATATGTAGCATTGGCATGCAAAGTGACCTAAGACAGTATTCTAACACAGGAAGAGGAAATTATAATTTATCTGTAGAGTTCTTTGAATCACATCAGTGGATATTATTCTATTTTATTTAATGTATCGAAAAAGATGCGATGGTTTCATTAGAAATTGTAATTACTTTCAAATGGTAATCATTAAATAATAAGCAAATCCTTCGTTAATTGATAGGCAATCAGCTAGACTAATAGTGGAACATGAATATAATAATAAAATTTAGCCTTGCTTGAACATTTAATAGAGCCTGTCACTATTGTAAGTGCTTGTTGTTGTTGTTGTTGTTGTTGTTAAGTGCTGCTGAGTAGGTTCCCACTTATAGGCACCCCGTATAGGGTTTCCAAGGAGCAACTGGAAGATTTGAGTTGCCTATCTTTGTGTTAGCAGTCCAGTGCTGATCCTACAGAACCACGCTAATTTGGCATGTAGTAATTTTTATCTTTACAAAAACACATCTTGTGAAGCAAATGCTGTTATTCTCACTTGAAACATGGAGAAATTGAGGAGCAGGAAAGTTAAGAAACTTGCCTATGACGTTCAGATAGTAACCCGTAGCAATGGAATTCAGACCTGGGTAATGTGATTCCTAGGTACTCGTGTGTGTCCCCTCTGTGCCTGCACTGTTTGAATGTATTTATAGCAGACACATTACCTCATATTTCTGAATGCTCTTCATTTTGTTGGTGTGTAAATAAGAGATTAACCTGAAATTCTTCTAGCTTGGCATTAAACTACGACTTAAACTTGGCATTGTAGAAGCAGAGTTAAGTCCAAGGGAATTCATTGTTTATTTTAGTCAGCTTCATAGAGCGCTTTAGGGAACCTGTGACACATGTTAATTTTATGATTCACTTTAGTAATTGATAATGGAAGTTTTCCTTAAAATACCCTTTTCTCTTCTATAGAGAAACATTAATGCTATTTGATTTGTAAGGACAGGAGTTTTAAGAAAATTAAAAATGTATCATATTTCTTAAATAACAAAACACACAGAAGTTTAGTTCCCTTTGGCACATCATTACTTTGATCATCTTGCACAAGGCATTAATACTCTCTGAAAGCCAGTCCTATTTTGCAGTTTTATATCTCCAAAAGTGAAATGACAGGTGACTTAAAGTGGTTTTGATTTACAAATGCTAATAGCAAGTTTGTGACATGGAATATAAAGGTGGTATCTGAAAGAAGGTGAAGAAGAAGCAGACTTAAATACTTACTGATGAAGATGCCTTCAATATGGATTGCACCTAAAGAAAACAACGGGACCCCAATAAATAGCATCATGATAAATGGAGAAAAGATTGAAGTTGTTGAAGACTTCATTTTGTTTGGATCCACAATCAACGCTCATGGAACCAGCAACCAAGAAATCAAACAACATATTGCATTAAGCAAAGCTGTCAGTTTGAGGACTAAGGTACAGCTGATCCAAGCCATCATATTTTCAGTGACTTCACGTGCATGTGAAAATTGGACAGTGAATAAGGAAGACCATAGAACAATTGATGCATTTGAGTTGTGGTGTTGGAGGAGAATATTCAAAGTACCATGGACTGCCAGAAGAAGAAACCAATTTGTGTTGGAAGAAGTACAGCCAGAATCCTCCTTAGAAGCCAGAATGGTGAGACTGTCTTTCGTACTTCAGACATGTCAGAAAGGACAAGTCCCTGGAGGGAAGGACATTCTGCTTGGTAAAACTGGAGGGTCAGCAAAAAAGAGAAAGACCCCCAGCGTAATAGATTGGCACAGTGGCAACAGCCATGGGCTCAAGTGTAGCAACAGTTGTGAGGCTGGCACAGCGCTGGGCAGTGATTCATTTTGTTAGACATAGGGTTGCTATGGTAGCGTAGTGGTTGCGAATCGGGCTGTGAACCTTAAGGTCAGCAGT